CACACATACCGAAACAGATCACCCAGACAACCAGATACACACCATACCAGAACCAGATACACATTACATACACTATACCAGATACCACACCCAGATACCAATACCAATGCCACACCACATACCAGATAACCACACTACGCACCTCCTTAGCCAGCGTGATGATCTCGGGTAGAAAGTTTGACCTTCAGCCTCAGCACGCTCTGCTTGCCCGTGGCGCGGCGAACGCTGCGACTCGATCGCAAAGATCTTGCCGGACACGCCGAGCTGCCGCTGCTGCACCTTGCGCGCCAGTCGTCAAACAGCTCCTGCATGTTGAGCTTCATGGCGGAAGCTGTCGCCGTCGTGTCTTCAGCTGGCGCCCTTACGTGGTTCTCCCAGCCCTTGCCGAGCACGTCCTCAACGCGGCGCAGGTAGGCGAGCAACTGCCGTGCGATCTGCTTCGCCCAGATGATGGAGCCGGACACAGGCGGCAGGTCGCGCACCTTACTCATTCTGTATGCCTTACTCTGCGGGTACTGCACCTGAACATGCAGGAAGCAACGTCGTTAGTGAAGACAACTGTCTTTTTTGTTTTTAATTACAGGGATTTGCAGGAGATTGGGCAGGGATGCCACATTTATTACTTACTGTTCTCGCAAACATTATAAATCCAAAAATAACAACAGTGGAACAACGATTTTGACCAAATTTCTACGTGTTCTTAAGGAGTACAGTAGGAAAAGTTAAACACATAGCAATTGAGAGTCACACAGTGATTCTGATTGCTGTAAGCTCGACTAGTGACAACCATACAAGAATATCTTTTCTATAAACATAATGACTAGACTGAACATGCCATGAACATGACTAGACTGAACATGCCATGAACATGACTAGACTAATAACTCCATGAGCATGACTAGATCACTCCATGAACATAACTAGAATGAACACCCTGTGGACATGACTAGACTGAACGCTCTGTGAACATGACAAGACCGAACACTCCTCATACATGACTAGGCTGAACCGCGTGGAAAACAGCAAACCTTGAACTTGTCGTGTAGCGCCTCAATGTCATCCTTCACGCGTTGGATCAGCTGTGTCTGGTACTCGTGGATCGCACCGCGGATGTGCGGACGCACGAACAGCGCGTTGAACCGCGAGAAGATGCGGAACATCTCGTTGGCGTTCTTCGCTGTTCCGAGCTGGTCGCGCAGGCGAGCCGTAATGCGTGCCTCAACACGGTCGATCCGCTCATCATATCTGAGCACAACATACATCAGCACATTTAGTAAATTAATTTAGAAGCTTACCTGAAGGAGCAATACGATTAGAAGATTAATATAATAATTCTGCTACATGGGAAAGGTTTTAAATTTTATGACCATTTAGTATCGATGTCTAATTAAGACGATTCAAATACTGGATTACAGTGCACCTTTTGACAGCTGCTTCCCACGATTCGGTTCCATCCTTCGACACATCTAAGCCATCGATGTCCTTCACATTCTCATATGCCAAGTTCACTTCCTGGAAATTCATGAATTATCACTACAGCTCCACCACTTAAGACTGCTGCTGGAAGGTACGTGTTGCTTAATTTTACATAAAAATGTCACGTGGAGGTTTTATAGTTACACACATCAGGAGCGTAGCTAACCTATCGTACCTGGGGGGGGGGGCGCAAAGCCACATGAGTGGTGTCCTGAGAAGGTGACAACAATTGACCATGTATTTACATTTCCCTGGAGGCAACAGCCGCCCCCCCCCACACACACACACACTAGCTACGGCCCTGCACATGTATCAGTTCTTGAGAAGCAATTAATTGATGCCTACAAACAGACTTTTACATCCTTGCACATGTATCAGTTCTTGAGAAGCAATAAATTGATGCCTACAAACAGATTTTTCAATTTATATTTAGCAAGCATTTTGCACACATTAACTATAACGTGCCAACGATATCGTGGATAACTGTACTACCTCAATGGCATTAATGTCTGCAGTGTCGAATGCGATGGCCTCGGCACTTGACTCGGTGCCCTCCCCGTCCGGTCCCGTGCCAGGTGTTGACGCCCGGGGCACAGCAGCTGGTCTCAGCACACGTACAATGACCGTGCGCAGCTGCTCGTGCTGTCTACGAAACCTGCAGGCAAGCACACGAAGTAACAGCTGTGGTTATCATACACGAACAACCCCTATCACACACTCGTGCTGTTGAGGGAACCTTCACAGAGGCACATGAAGTAACAGCTGTCGTATCATACATGAACAACCCCTATCGTTCACTTGTGCTGTCGACGAAACCTACACACAAGCACACGAAGTAACAGCTGTCGTATCATATACAAACACACACATGCACAGATGTATCATGCACACATAACACGCACATGACATTTACTGAAAACATTTATGCTTCACATTTCATACTTATCTTCATACTTTACATCTTGTTTTTTTATACAGCACTTCATATTTAAATGCCACTCAATTAGATCACGAGGTGTAAAATTACGTGGTGCATAAAAAAACGACGAGAGCAAGTTCATAACTTGTTTCATGATTAGAACTAGACATGCTAGGTGACGTAAACCTATCAGACATACTTTCTCATCTGGTCTAGACGAGCCTGTAAGCGTTTATGCGCGGGATTCACTCGCCACACCATCTTTAGGTGCTCCTCTCGTTTCTTCTTCACAATGTCTCTCAGCAAGCCCTGCAGCTTGTCATACTCATCGTCCCATGTGCTGAATACATCAAATGATGCACTCGTCACCTTCTCAAAGTCCTCATAGGGAGCGTGCATCAGCCGCCGAGGACCCAGCACCTATGGTAACAACGAGCGACCCAGGTCAGAAGTCATGCCCATCTAGATTTCTCCTCACCATCACCCACCCACCAAGTGTTTGCTTACATTGGTGGCGTTCATATCATAGCTCATATTTTAATAGTAACATTAACTTTAGTTTTAACGAATACCAACCTACATCATACACTTGACATATAAGTATTCAATATTATACAAATAAGTAATACAATGAGTAATACATAAGTATACAAATGCCTACAGGTATACTCTATATTCTCATAAGTCACTCTAATGAAATCCATCTAGGTTTTGCCCACAAATGGGATGTACTCTAATCAACTAGTCAGGCCAGGCCATCCTTAAAAAATTCTATGTTTGCTGTCCCCCGACCCATGATTTTTTTAGTGGGTAGGTAGGTAGGTCTTTTTTTTGTGTGAGGCATAATAGTTATTTTAAGTCTGTCCTCATGTTTGCCACACATGCTTTGTGTTTCAGTCTTAACTATGAAAAATGTAAAAAAAAAAAATATGGAACCCATAATGTAAAAAAAAACTTTTGGGTCGCGGCTATTTTCGTGGGTCGGTCGGAGGACAGCAAACATATAATTTTTTAAGGATGGCCCCAGCTTACTGCAACACTATATATTACAGCTCTACAATTTGGTCCAGGTGACTTGCGTGGACTGCTCACCTTTAGTAGCTGAGTGCTCAAGTCACGGGATATTGCCTCTACCAGTCTGAGGGCTCGTTGAGTCGGGTAGCGTGTGTTCCTGATCTTCCGCAGGTGAGTAAAGATGGCATGCAGAGCAATGCGAATACGGTCCAGGTCAGTTGCTGACAGCAGGTCATTCAGGGGGAAATCCTTCATCAGTGGACTGTAGTCATTCACTGTGTCCAAGGCTTGCTTGAGTCCTGCATAGATACATCACAAATAAGGTACACATAAAAATAGCAGAAATACAGGGGGTTCTATATTCAGTTCAGTTACAATTTTAAAATGAATTTTACATTTAACAAAGATTTAACTCACACTAGTAATTTATTTTCCAAACTCAGCTTACACTATCAAAATCCTTTGCCACGTTAAATGCACTTTAATACCTAGTTGTTAATTCCCACATCCAATTTTCTGGATCTGCATATGAACCAGAGCAAGAAGGTGGGAACAGAGAACAAGACTGCATCCTAACCTGTATCGGTGTCAAAGCTCACAGTAGCATGGAAGCGCTTGCCATGCTTTAGGATATCTAGGGTCAGTGTCACTTCTAGGCTTTCTCTCTTCTCCTGAATTCTAAGCAATGCCCTCTCAAGATTCAGCCAGAAACTAATCTCCTGCAGTGCAGTGCCTGAAGCTGGGTCTCTGTCCAGCTTGGTCACCTACAACAACGTGACTGTTATCTCACATCCACGTGCATACCGAGCCTTAACTGACAAGATGAGGCACCAACAAACTCGAAACCTACAAACCTTTTGAATCTCTCGGATCCAACGGTTGACACCGTTCTGCAGATTGTTGAGAAAGCTAGAGTCCTCAACCTTATCGCCAAAATCGGCCACTTTCGGTTTACGCTTTTCTTCCTGACATTTCTTAATGACGGCAGTCAGCACTGGGTTGACAGGGAGAGTCACTTCTGGAATGTCGATGTTCTGTTGCAGGTGCAACAGACCCATCTCCAACTCGGCAATTTTCTTCTCTACAGACGGTGCCATCTTGTCTCCATCACGTTCTGCCTTACCTGCAAGACAGCATTCATGGGAAAGTTTAACTAAGTTAACTCTATTTGATTGTTTCGCTCTACCAATTATCTGATTTTAACTTTGAATTTGAACATTTTTAACTTAAAACTATAATATCAATTCTGAAATCTTAATAAACTTTTTGCTTTGCAATTTAGCATGGCATTAGTTGCATATAAACGGCCATCAGAAAGTTTACTAACAGTTTTTCAGAGCAACAGTAACAATATCACTGAATAAAGTGGATGAAGCGCAGAATGAGAGAAGTAATGATCGCACACACCATGTCTCATGAAACTATCCATTAGCATGTGTTCATAAGAAAATTATCATGAAAAAATTATGGAACCACATGTATAATTAATAGAATAATATAATGCAAAGTTATTATTGTTTTATTAAAAGCATATTAATAAATAAACATCCTGCACAAACGAAAAAACACAGCTTTCATTGAACACGTACCAGTCTCCCGGACATACGACTTGAAGTATGGTGCCACTGAACAGCTGACATAAGAGTGAAGTACTTCATAGGGGTTTCCATCACTGAGACTCATCACTCGTAACTGGGAGCTAATAGGTTTGTCTGCTTCCACTACTGTTCCTCGCTTGATCACCACCACACTGCAAACCAATTAGGATAGTAAGCAAACTACAATATTTGACCATACATTATAATCAGGGCTCTCCCCATGGTGAGTCTGATATGCCTTCAAAGATCAAGCTAATATATACGCAGACCTGCCAACCCCATCTGATGATCATCAGTAATAATTATTGGATTTTTCCGTAACAAATAGGCATTTGTCAGTAACACCTTTTTGTCAGTCTTATTACAGTATAATAATAACATAATTAGCATAAATAGCCTTCAGTGCGGTACTACTATTCCTGGATCCGTGACGTCATTCAAAATGGCTGCGCCAATAAACCAGACAGACGAGCGCATAACACAGCATAATTCGCCATTTGCAGTGAGTACCGTTACGTTTTAAGAGCCATTAGTCT